TGGTTCAAAAGAAGTTGAGCAATTAAAATCAGAAATTATACAAAAAATACTTGTCTTTACTGACATTTAAGGTATTGGCCCAATGCACGCTTGCTTTGCTTACTTTAGTTTGCTTTGCTTTACTTTGAAGGCTTTTATGGCTTAATGGTAGCTTTGAACGCTGTCATAGTAGTCAGCTGATTTTCAATGCGCGCAAATATACCCGCCATTCTTTGTTGTGCCAGCAAGTATAATTGTGAATTTTAGTTAAAATATATGTTATTAAACAATTATTTGTTACTAAGAACATTATTTTTTACAGATACCTTGCTTTTTTATCGTTCCGGTTTTGGTGAAGCTGCATTTGGCTGCGCCACTCACCACCCGTGTTTATAAGACGTAATATTCAATTGGAGGTAAAAGAGTTTATATTAAACAATTATTTGTTGCTAACAACATTATTTTTTTTCAGATACCTTGCTTTTTATCGTTCCGGCCACCAGATTCGTTGGTTTTCATAAAGTTTCATTTGGCAGTACAAAATGTTGACTCGAAATGCTGAACAAGTTTTGAGAATTTTCCTAATTTTAGCGAAAATACGTAAATTAAAACTGCGATTAAAACAGAAGCGCCGATTTTGGGTTCGGAAATTGTACTTAGAGCGACACAAATATGGATTGTTTGAAAGTTCATTAAGAAACTTGGCTGCAGATGAGGAGCAGTTTAACAAGACATTAAGAATGCCCTTTTCGTTATTTAATGTGCTGCACGAATTTCTGGAGGCTTCGCTGACCAAATATTCAATCAGAACACCAATATCGAGCCGCTGCAGACTATTTATAACCCTGATGTAAGAGAAAATCGGTTTTACTTAATAGTATACGTATAATTTTCCATATATGTATCTGGTTTTATTTTTTTGTTGCAGATATTTGGCTCACGGTGGCACTCGGCAATTCCACACAATAGTTCACAGGATCGGCCTGACGACTTTCAGGAAGATTACGTTGGAGACATGTATGACCATATGGGATCTGTTAGCTGACCTGTATGTGGCGACCCCGTCAGAAACGGAATGGGGACGTATTTCCAATGAGTTCAAGTCGCTGTGGAATATGCCCAACTGCGTTGGTTCCATCGACGGAAAGCACATTAATATTACCTGTCCAGCGAATTCAGGGTCGATGTACTATAATTACAAAGGCAATTATAGTATCGTGCTTTTGGCCGTATGTGATGCCAATTATACCTTTACCTGCGTTGACATCGGAGCATATGGAAGTCAAAGCGATGGCGGTGTCTACCACTTTTCAAAACTGGCAGATGCTATTGAAAATGATAAGCTCGGCCTTCCACATGATCAGCCTCTGCCAGGAGAAACCGAGCCATTTCCACATTATTTAGTAGGAGATGCTGCTTTTCCCTTACGGCGTTATTTAATGCGACCATATCCGGGTAGAGGTATTCCAGAAGAGCAAGAGTATTTCAATAAAAGACTCTCTCGTGCAAGAAGAGTTATAGAAAACGCATTTGGAATACTCACTGCCAAATGGAGAATATTGAGAACGACGCTATGCATGGCCCCGAAAAATGCAGAACAAATAGTGAAAGCTTGTATTGTCTTGCATAATTTTATTAAGCTTTCGTGTGCAAACTATGTAGCAGCGATTTTGTTGATCGCTACGAAGAGGATGCCACCATCGCTGGCTCATGGCGAAACGAAGTAGTTCCATTGCCCTCAATAAGTAGGGTGTCATCGAACCGAGGCAGTTCAAATAATTATGATTTAAGGGATGCTCTGAAGACACATCTTTTTAACAATAAAATTTAAATAATTACTACTCACTGAATATGCTTTGTTTTTATTATTTAAGATAGAAAACAAAAATTTGAACTCACAGTATGAGGGCACTTATTGGTAATGTTTTAAATGTCGTCACATCTTTCAGGTTTTTAAATTAATTTTTGTTCAAGGTAAGTATGGCGTTAACATAACATATATTTCATTCAGTCTTTTAAGTTAAATTATTTAAATTTATTTAAATGTCTCGTAACCGCGTAAGCCTCGTAAACTTGCATCGAAAACCACGCGTTTGGAATAATATCCTGAATATTTTCTTCAAAAATGTACAATTGTGTTTGATTAGAAACAATGAAATTATAGCAAGCATTTTCTGTGAGATTGCATATTAAATTCGATTACATATTTAATTCGCAAAATCAAAATCAGATTTCATACTAAATTAGATTACATATTAAGTTCGCAAAATTGAAATCAAACTGGATGTCATTTAAATTTTTAAATTTCGTAAATTCAATTTTTTATAATTTTTATATTGAGCATAGACGTATTGAAGTACGTCCATTTGAAAATCTAGGCGGCTCTCTTCTGGGACCTTCTCAAACACTTCGCCAATCGCACCCAAGAAATTGTTGTGTGTGTGTTTTTTTTTTGACTATCCACAAACTGACTTACTTCGTTGACTAGATCGTTAAAGGCGGCGTTCTCATCGTTTTTTTTCTTTTGTCTCTTAGCCGGCGTTGGGGCAGTGGTTTCTTGCTCTTCTATTTCTAACATCTTGCACTAAAGCTTCCGATAAACCAACCAACACACAAGAATCGGATAATACAGCAGCCGGAACGATAAAAAAGCAAGGTATCTGAAAAAAAATAATG